TTTGTAAAATTACTCCTCTATAACAACTATATAGATCTTCATAATAATAATTCTAAAAATATCGCACAATCTTTTCTATTAATCAAAGGTTCTATCTTGCATATGACATAAGATTTGAAGATTTGCACATGATATATTTTCCATTGGATAGATTCCCAAACATTTAGATAGAAAATCTAACTGTTAAGCTCTTAGATTGTCTTCAAAGGAAAGCTGTTGGATATCTTTTTTACTGAAAATTTGGACATGAATCTTCGCCAATTTAAGTGTTATATCGCTAGTAAGAGAATAAAATCTGCGAAACACGCTACAATTACTTCCATCAATCTTGAAAGAATTTATTTTTCTAGGTAGCTCTAAAATATCTGCCTTAGAGTTTATGTTTAGTTATGAATTTATTAATAATGTATTACCTTTCTTCAATATTTAACTAGTAAAATATGCATATCTTTTGAAATTTTAAATTTGAATAATTTTTTTTTCTTTTTTTTAGTAATCCACTAGGCAGTGCCTAGGGCTAGTTTTTATATGTGTAATGAAATAAAAACAAAGTGTCATGAAATCCTAAAACATGAAAGAAATAAACTTTGTAAACTACATAAATCCTATTATCAAAGTCGAGTGATGCACTCAATAATGATATCACATAAGTTCTAATGTAGGTTTTATAAGTAGAAATTAGCCCTTGAAGCCCGTTATTGAAGTCCAGCTGATTTATCCGCTCTTTGTAAATATAGCCATGCGCTCCCCAGTTTCTCCTGTTGCACACATAGCCAAATTGCTTGTATAAATAGCCTCCTCAATAGCCACTGTACAAACTATGATGCTATGGAACATCTTTCCTTTTTCTTGTATCCTTGTATGTTGTGTGATTGCATCCCAATTTGATAGTATGCAATTCCAGTAGTTCACATGCATAAAAATGTAAGCCACGCAAAATCTGGAAATGGTGCACTGTCCAAAGAAGTACGAGTACACTGTTTTTGATTTCATTTTCGCGTAACTTCCATTTCTTATCTCTTCAAGCCTTTGCATGAAGTTGATCCTGAGTCATCCTATATGCGTGGCACATGAAAATTTTATTCCAATTTGTCTCCAAGTTGCCAGATATGAGCTGCCAAATGCGCCATAATAAGTGTGTTGACCATCGTTGCTCAGGTACATTTGCCACAGCCTTCGCGTCCCCGGGTCTCTAGCGAGAGAGAGTGGGCGTAATACCTCATATCGCCGGGTGTTGATCTCGCTCCTGGTCCTGCTGCATGAGGTCTATAGCGTGGAAGAGCAAGCCACAAACTGTGCGCCGCCAGGTCCATAACGAGATGGAGCTGGCGAAATCCCTGGCGTTGCACGGGTGTTGAACTCGCTACTGGGCGCGCTGGGCGAGGTCTAAAGCGTGCTGTGAAGCTCGCTAGGCCTGCTGATTGTTGCGCAACCAATACCAATGCCTGGAACATTAGATCGCATTGCCAAGCTTGTTGCATGCTATGAATGTTCATTTGCCTCCTTAGTTCCATACTTGTGCATGCCATCTTTCCTCCTTCAAGGGAATGAGCACATAGTGCTAATACCACCCATAGAAGTCATAATAAAGGGCAAGGCATGAGTACAATAACGTCTCATGCAAAAAAGAACACAAGGTTAGTAGAAAAAATGATCATCCTATTCTCTTCCCAAAGGATTTGAATATGATGATCCAGTGATGTCTCCCATACCCTACTAACCTTTTCCTCCTTCTTTCTTAGTTCCTTGCTACCTTCACAAATCATACCCCCCACCTTTCATGATTGCTCCATGCATATCAATTAAAATTTGGCTTGGCAGTCCTTACCCTAACATAAGGTATTTCAAGCTTGTCATTGTTAATATTTTCCTACCTTCTGATTCCAATTCCCAGAATGGTTGCACCTGAATCCATGTTCCCGATCCAATGTCAAGTTAGTTAAGTGATCTTCTAACTTGTTTCCTTCCCTCAGCACATGCACAATCTGGAAAACACCTCTAGCCATAAGAAGTTTGATTTCATCCACCTGATTAGCAATGTTCCAAGGTGGTTCCCATACCTCATCTAACACTTTCTTCAGCAATAATGAGCCAGTCTCAATTATACAAGGAGGAAACTGCATTTGAAGTATGTACCTGGCTGCTTCCAAAATGGCCTGAGCTTCAGCAATCTTATTTGTTGCCTCCTCCACAACATCTGTCTGGGCATATATAAGGTCTCCAATACCATCCCTAATGCAAAAACCATAGGAAGCTCCCCCATTGTCTCCTCTACTAGCACCATCAGTATTACATTTTATCCAACCATCTGGAGGTAGCTGCCATAGTACATAGTATATTTCAATCTAGGGAGATGATTAAGCAATTTCTCATGTAAGTCTATCCAATTGGCAGAAACTCCTTTGAACCCTGATCTTCTTACCTTCAAGAACATATGAATTGTGGTTGAAATCTGGAATATCGACCTATTAAAAGATACGTTCTTCCCATGTTTGCCAAAATTCCTTTTCTTCCACAAATGCCACACTATTATGGATGGCATTGCTTGGTAAGCTGCCTTCATACTGGAGTTTCCTGATTTAAGCCACCACTCATTTATTACTTGAACTAATTGCTTCCCTTCAGTTGTGATCCCTACTGGAGCACAAAAGTAGTTCCATACAAATTTGGCTGCTGGAGATGTCAAGAAAACATGGGACATTGTCTCTTCCTTAGGATGCCTACAACACCAACATCTTGATGTTCTAAAGTATCCCAGCCTTAAAAAATCAATCATCTAATGGTAGTTTTTCCTTCCAGAGTCTCCACATAAAAAAACTAATCTTGAAAGGCACACCCTTCACCTAGAAAAATTTATATAATTTGCTTTCAACCCTTCTCTTCCTTATAAATTGCCAAGCTGACTTCACTAAGAATGTCCCTTTTGTTTCTAGCTTCTACCATGGTTTATCCTTTATTGAGTAATCTGAAGGTGGTGAGATTGTATCCATGATGTGATCGGCTAACTCCTCAGGCAGTAATTCTCTCAAAAGACCTTCATTCCATGCACCATTTTCTATCACCTCATCAACATACTTATAAGATTTATCACACCAATGATCTGGACCTGTTGCATGATAGAGAGCTCCCAAACCAGTCCAATTATCAAACCAAAACCAGGAATTCCCACTCTTCAATTACCACCAAATTTGATTTTCCACCTCATCCCTCATTTGGATCATCTTTCTCCACACTTAAGAACCCCGTCTCCCTGGTACTACCACTTCATTTATCTTCTTACATTATTTATTCCTCATGAAAGCACTCCATAAAGAGTCCTTAGTTCATAGTTTTGCCACAGTTTTGCAAACAAAGCATTGGACACATCATACATTGATCTAAAACCAAGTCCTCCTTCATTTTTAGGCAGACACAAAGTATCCCAAGAAGCCCAGTTTCTTGCCCTTCCATTACCTGGATTGCTCCAAAAAAACCTAGCAAACATCTTGTGTAATTATTTGATCACATATACTGGAGGGTTCACTGCTTAAAGAAGGTGAATTGGCATGCTCTCTAACACATGTGTAATTAAATACTGCCCTGCCACCAATTGAAAGTAACTTGCCCTTCCATGATGATAACCTCTCCTGTACTTTGAATAGAATGTTCTTATAGAACTCCTTCTTTCTTCTGCTATAGAAAATTGGACATCCTAAGTAAGTAAATGGGAAGGAATGTCTTTGGAATTAAATGATCAAATGTACAATATTCACTTCATCTGCTGGTGCTCCTTCATGCATATAAAAGGAATATTTCTCTTTCTTTATTTTCTGCCTAGAGGCTACCTCATAATCTTCCAAAACATGCATGACAAGCTGGACTGCTCCACAGTGAGAAGAACAGAATATGATTGTGTCATTTGCGTAGAATAAGTAGTTGATATTATGGCTCCACTTTGGCATGCCAAAGCCTATGAAATCTTGATTATCAAATAATGCATCCAATGCTCTCCCAAGAACCTCTGCTGCTAGAATGAATAAAGTAGGAGATAAAGGATCTCCTTGCTTGACACCCCTTGTAGATTTGAGGAATCCATTGGCCTGCCCATTCAATAGTACTGAATAACAATTGTTGGATATTAATCTGAATATCATGTCGATGAAGATCTCACCAAACCCCATCTGCCTCAACACCTTTGTCAAGAACAACCATGACATTCTATCATAAGCCTTTTTTATGTCTAATTTGATCACCACATTAGCTGGCTTCCCTCTCATCCTTATATCAGTTATGATCTGTTGTATAAGTAAAATATTTGCCACTATACTCCTGCCCTTAACAAATCCAGCCTAATTAGGAGAGATTAGAGAAGGAAGAAACTGTACTAACCTCTCATGAATTACTCTAGAGATGATCTTATTGAAAATATTGCTCAAACTGATTGGTCTCATGTCTGAAAATATTGCCACATTCTTCTTCTTTGGAAGCAATACAAGGTTTGTATGTGTGATGAATTTTGGTAATTCTGCACCACAAAAGAAAGCACTCACCATATGAAGCACATCTTCCCCAATAATATCCCAACTTGCCTGATAAAAATGTTTAGTGAATCCATTTGGACAACTGGCACTGTCTCCATTTAGGCCAAATGTTGCTGCCTTCACCTCCTCCATGGTTGGTTCTTGCCACTATAATTCATTCTGTTCAATAGACACCAACTTAGGGACATACTGAATGATGTCAAAGTTGGTAGGAACCCTCTCTTCAGTGAATTGAGCTTGGAAGAATTCTACTGCCTCTTTTGCCATATCTTCCTGAGATTCAAGCCAATTCCCATTGTTATCTAAGATTCTGGATAGTTGTAGTCTTTTCCCCTTTTCCCTCACATGAACATGAAAAAACTTAGTATTCCTATCACCATCCTCAAACCATTGCATTCCAGCCTTTTGCCTCCAAAATTCTTCTTCAAGATGATAGAACCTTGTGAGGTCAGCTTCTACCTTGTGTGGTTTTGCCCTATTCTAGACTATTGGATTCAACTCAAACTCAGTTTCATGAACCTTTATGATATCCTCCAATGCTATAATTTGTTTGAAGATGTCTCCAAAAGTTTCCTTACTCCAGGCTGCCAGAGCTGACTTTACTTTCTTCAACTTACTTTGGAACATATTGAAAGTATTTCCCATGGTATCAGTTACCCAATTCTCCTTTATCACATTCAAAAAGGTCTCACATTTAGCCCAAAAATTGAGAAACTTGAAAGGCTTCTTCACTTGCATAGTGTCAATATTACATGACAATAGAAGAGGTGCATGATCAGATTCATATTTTATGAGATGCTCAACTTCTAATGATGGGAACAAATCAAGAAATTCCTGATTTGTAAAGAACATATCAAGCCTTTTGTAGATGCAATCTACATCCGACCTTTCATTCCACCAAGTATACAAACTCCCTTTGAAGCCAAGATCATACAATGCATATGTATCAACACAATGTGCCAAGTCTTCCACTTCACTCAAATACACTGGACGGCCCCCATACTTCTCTTCCTCAGATAGTATCACATTAAAATCCCCTCCAACAAGCCAAGGGGATTCCATACTTGAAGCTAAATGGTACATTGAATCCCATAGCTGAATTCTTTCAATCGCATCACATTTAACATATACAAGAGTCACGCAAATTTCCTTATTCAAATTCCTATGAAAAAACATTAAAGTCATTTGTTTTTCCATGTTCATCACAATATCTACATCAATATCTTCATCTACAAAAGCCCAAATTTTCCCATTCATATTTGCATAAGCATAATGTATCCCCAACTTTTGTCTATATTCCTCTAGTTTGCTAATGTCTTGCCAAGGTTCCATCAAACCTATTAAATAGAAGTTGTACTTTCTGTGTAGGTTAAGTAACCTATTGAAAGACTTTTGAGTATTAATCGACCTCACATTCCATAATAGAGCATTATCAATAAGATTATTTGGAAGTAGAGATCACACTCCTCTTTGGTTGCACCCTTATAGGCACACTGTCTTTGATGTCCTTCTTCTGTCTCCTTGTAGGTTTTGTTGATGATTTCTTCTTGTCCACACTTCTGGGGGATATGTCACCATCTCTTATTAGCAGCAGTAGATTCTTCTTCAATATCCTTCCCCAAATCTTCCTCCTCTCCTTGTGCATCCTCAACCACCTGAAGTGCTAAAGGGTTTGGTTCATGATTCTTGGCTATCATTCCCAATTCCCTTTGCCCCTTATTGTTGATCAATATACCTTTGGCTAGGATTCCACTAGTGACACTGAAAGTTTTCCCAACTAGTATGTCAGGATCATCAATAGCACCAGTAGCTAATTGCATAGGTTTAGGGACCAGGGATCTGCTTGTTTGCTCACCTATCATCTTCTTCTCTTTCAGCTGTGGTACGTTTAGTGCATCATGTCCAGTTCCCTCCGGATCAATCGCATCACGTTCATCTCCCTTAGGTTTTACTGTAGCAGCCCTAGGGTTTACTGTAGATGTCTGATTAGGGTTGGTATTTTCCTGCTCATTGACTTCACCTTCTTTATTGTTTGCCTTGGTTTCTTCATTGATTTTATTAACACTGATGTTGGACTTCAATCCCTTCCCATTCACGCTTTGAACCTCATCCTCTACATCCTCATCTGTAGAATCTATCTCACCTTGAGCACCCTCAGGTATTTCCCCTTCCTCTGAATCTTCCTCTATTTCATTAGCCCATAATCTTCCACCACTCCATTGAACCTTCTCGTTTATCTTTGGGAATTTAGTAGTATTTGTTTGTGTTAATAGTTTGAGAGGGAATACCTTGACACGATTTATTGGTAGTAACTAGGTTACCCCCAAACGCTTTATTCACTCATTGTGCCCTGGATTCCTTATGTATATTCTCAGCACTCCTACTCCTTTGTGCACTAGGATTAAATACAGGAGCAGTAGGATTTAAATTCTTTGCCGTCTTAGGAGTATGATTCCCAACCTTAGTAGGAGAAGCCTTATCCACCTGAATTACCTCATGGACTTCATCAACAACTGCCAACTGCTTGTTTTGCCCTTCCCCAATGTCTTCACCTTCAAGTGTTGCAAATTTGTTAGATGTTTGTAGCTGCTTATCACCATTGCTAATAACTGGAACTAGTTCTTTCCCAATTTTGGACTGATTGTTATCTAATCTAGCACCTGTATTTACTCGATTGTCTTTGACCTCTTTCCATTGTTCCTTGAATTACCAACCAACTTACCACTGGACAAAATCATCAAAGGACCTTGATTTTTGCCTTTCCCTTCAACAATGCCTCCTCTACCCTTGTTTATCATCAGCCTTATTTTCCATAAGTTCTGGATGTAGTTTCCAGCATTCAAGTTCATCATGACCTTGAAGCTTACATTCTTTGCAGTACTTTGGAAAATAATCATATTTGATTGTCACCCATTCAGTCCTTATGTCTCCAGTCACCTCATTCTTAATATCCATACGTACCTTCTTTAGTAATTCAGCTAGAAGATCCACCAACACTTTAACTCGTTCACAGCTAGGTCGAGATTTATTAATGGTAGCCATATCTAAGTGCAAAGTCTTTCCCACAGCTGATTTTAACGAGAAAAGACACTCCTTAACGAAGTAGGTAGGTAACAGATTAGGGAAAGATATCCAAGCCATAACTTTTGGAGTCTCTTCCCCATCCTTAAATCTGGCATCGTAAATAAGAGTTCTCAATTGATATTCATAGTCATCTTTACCTTTAACATAGTAAACACTTTTGGACGTGAAATTAATATAATCCTGCCATAATGACATTCTAATTAAAACATGCCTATCACGTAGAAATCCAATGTTGCATTCACCTTTAATTCCACATTGAGTATGTATGATTCTACGTAATTCTTGAAGCTCAGGCCATCCATATGAGAACTTTCATACTACTGCATATTGCAAACCTTCAATCACGTTCATGCACTCCACTTCTGCTTTAGTAAACTTCACTAATGGCTGCCCATGCAAGAAAGTAGCACACCTAAGGGGGAGTGGTTCAACAGTATGCGTAAAACTAGGGTTCACCTGGACTGTTTTGTTTATCACGTCTGGTTTCAAAATATTGGATTAATCTAAAGGCTTGAGGATGTCTGTAGTAGGGTTAGGAACGGAGGGGGATGCTTGGATGGGCTGACCAACCGCCGTAGGAGTCTGGCCGACAGCCAGATTGGCCATTAAAAGGCTATCGCTGGAAGTCGCCAAGAGTCGCCGGAAATCGCCAGAGAGACAAGCTCTCAAGCGTAGTTTTTTTTTCTTTTTTATCTTTTATATGTAACATGTAAAAATAAAAAATAATTAATTGTTGGATAATTTTTATCTATAACAGCCAAAAAATATTTAAACGCTAAATGCTGTTATAGATGTATAACAGTCATTCACAATAAAAGCAAAAATATATCGGAACAAACGAGGCTGTTATATAGAGGGTTGACTATATATATATATATATATATTTGTACTGGGTTTTTACGTAGGTGTCTTGTCATAGCCTCGTCACTACCTCGTCGAGGTTAGGCTTAATACTTACGGAGTACATTGGGTTAGTTGTACTCATTCTACACTTCTACACTTCTTGTGCAGATACTGGTATTGGTCCCACCGGTGCTTAGAGGTGTGTCTTCTCGGAACATACTGCTTCAGAGACTTGAGGTAGAGCTGCTGGTGATCACAGACCTTGAAGTCCCCTTCCATTTCCTATCTTTACTGTTTATCTTATTCGAACAGTTGTATTTATTTCAAACTATACTTGTAGACTTCTAGTTACTCATGCACTTGTGAGACCAAACTTCTGGGGTTGAGTTAGACCGCGTTATGTTATGGGTTTATTTTATATATTTCAGCTTTAATCATCGTTAATAATTGTTATTACTCTGTTTGAATTTTCTAATTATTAAATTGTTTAACTAATGTTAGCTTGCCTAGAAAGTGGACATTAGGCGCCATCACGACCCCGAGGTTGAGATTCCGGGTTATGACAAGTTGGTATCAGAGCACTAGGTTTGTTAAGTCTCACGAGTCATGCGCAAGCTTCGTAGAGTCTGGAGGATAGGTATAAAGATGTCTGTACTTATCTTCTAGATGCTATGGAATTTTAGGAAAATTTCACTTCTTTCTTTCTCTATCGTGCGATTTTATTCTATCATTGATGTTTGAATCATTTCATTCTTGTTATCTCGCAGATGGCAAGATCACGCACAATATCTACAGCCGGGCAGGAGTTCGAGCCCCCTATTGCAGCCACTACAAGGGGTAGAGGCCGAGGTAGAGGTCGAGCTAGAGGCCGAGGCAGAGGCAGAGCTCAGACTAAAGCTCGTGCAGCAGCACCCACTATGGAGCCTCATATTGATCATGAGGAGGAGATCCCAGCTCAGACTGCACCAGTCAGACCCGCTCAGGTCCTAGAGGGATTTATAGCGACACCCGTGCTTCAGGACACTCTAGTCCGTTTAGTGGGCCTTATGGAGAGTGTGGCTCAGACCGGTGCATTTCTGATGGCATCATTTGTCTCTCAGGCTAGGGGAGGAGCAGAGACTCCTGCTACTCACACTTCGGAGCAGATGGCTCCCATATATCAAACTCCGACAGTCCATCCAGTTGGGTTAGTTCAGCCTGTTGTTGCTACACAGACCGGTAAAAGGCCTGCGATGTCTTCTGAGGGATTGATGAGGTCGAATAAGTTCACAAAGCTCTTCCCTATTCTCTTCAGTGGTGCACCTTCTAAGGACCCACAAGATTATTTGGATTGTTGCTACGAGGTGCTGAGCAACATGGGTATTGTTGAGTCCATGGAGTAGACTTTGTATTGTTTCGGATAATCGGTTCGGCCAAGAGATGGTGGCAGGATCATGTGCAAAGCAGACTGGATGGTTCAGTGCCACACACTTGGGGTAAATTTTGTAGTTGTTTCTGAAGAAGTTTATTCCTTTCACTTTGAAAGAGGAGTATTATAGGCAATTTGAGCGCCTTCAGTAGGGTAGCATGACTGTTACCGGTATGAGACCCGATTTGTGGACCTAGCTCGCCATGCAATTATCTTACTTCCTACTGAGAGGGAGAGAGTGAGGAGATTCATTGATGGACTTACTTTCTGTATTAGGCTACAGATGGCCAAGGAGACCGAAGATGATATTTCTTTCCAGAGGGCTGTTGAGATTGCTAGACAAATCGAGATGGTTCGTGGTCAGGATAGAGGCGGTATCTGAGAAGAGACTTGTGTTTTCGGTGGTTTAAATGGTGCCTCATCTGGAGACAGAGGTTCATTTGGTAGAGGCTATCCTCCCGGGCCAATTCAGTCAGCACTTCAAGCATCTCACAGTGCTTCGGGTAGTCGTGGTTCTAATGGGTCTCATCTTGAGCAGCTAGACTACAACGCACCATCAGCTCCTATTAGTGCACCTCCGATCCAAAGTTATCAGGGTGGATATCCAGGTCGACAGGTCCAGTTCCAGTGTCAGCAGTCACAGCAGCTGAGGGCTTGTTATACTTGTGGAGATCCAAGGCACATTGCTAGATTTTGACCTAAGTCATAGGGCAGCATGCCACAACAGAGTTCTCATGCCATGGTTCCAGAGGTGGAGGTCAGGCCATTAGAGGAGGGGGCCAGTCCATGAAAGGTGGGGGTCAGCCAGCTAGAGGCCGTCCGAGAGGCGGAGGTCAAAGTGGTGGAGCCCAGCCCCATTTTTATGCATTTCCAGCTAGACTTGAGGCAGAGTCATCTGACACTGTCATCACAGGTATTGTTC